TATAGGAAATAAAATAGGATTGATTCACTCTTTTAAATGGATAAATATCACCCTGGAATTTTCACTTTACCTGCCCAAAGTGTTTACAATAGTGAAACTAAAAACATAATAAGGTGTTAGTTTGTGTTTAGCTTCTACCAGAATGCAAAACTAAAAATAAATGAGAACTCTTGGTGTTTTGGCCTCTATATTTTATTCTGGAATGTTCCAAGAAGGCCTTTGTGCTTGTTCCCTTGCCTTACAGGCCTTAAGAAGGGTGGCATGAAGACAGAATCTCTCTTCCTGGCTTTGGGAAGACCCTCACTGACTTCATTCTCTGCCGCAATGTCACCTTATCACCTTACAGATACCTGATACAAAATGGCACCTCACCTGTCCCCACTCCTATCTCATTACCTTCCATTACTCTTAGCCTGCTTGATGGTCTTTATAGCTGTAATCAAGACTGGATATATTAAATGTTAATGTTTCAATTTTTAAAAATTGTGTGTCTTCCATCAAAATATGAGTTCTATCTAAACAGAATCCTTGATCCTTTTTGCCACCTCTATATCCCCCATGACTAGGACAAGGCTTGGTAATAAAAGCTGCCCAATAAGGATTTATTGGATTAATAAAATAAATTTAATACTCACACCAAAATGCCTATCGAGGCCAGGTGTGAAGTCATAGGTAATAGCAGGAACTTTTCCATACAGGTGAGCATTCATCCCAGCTGAAGCAGGCACTGCTCCTTCATCCCAGCCAGCTGTCATCATGAAATAACATCCCACATTGCCAAATATTCAGATTTTTCCAGAATATTTTCCAAATATTTTGAGCACACCAGAAGTCTGCATTGACACATGAAGTTCCCCTTTTTGTATATAAAACAATACAACAGAGGCGTGGGCAGTATTTGGCCAGCAGGTTACCAATTTGTGACCTTAGCTCTAAATGCTCTGAGGTTAGGTTGGTGTCCCCGGGTAGAGTGGAGGGAGATCAGTAGTATTTTGGGGTTGTTTCAGGATAGCCAGGGGGTAGGAAGGAGCTCTAAAGCCAATGAAGAAGACTAGCATTCAAGTCCACATGAGTCTAAGGGAAGGCGGAATCTGAGGTTTTCCCATATGGGGCACAAGACTGCTTTCTCAGCACAGGGAGGAGACTCAAAGCAGGAACCCCAGGCTCAGCAAAGACTTCCACACTGAAATGTGATCAGGCAGGAGGGCTGTCACCAGCCTGACCAAATGAGTACAGCAACAGGCACAGCACAAAGATTTGCATGGTTCCCTGGATGTTTTGCTCTAAACCAGACTTCTCAGCCGTGACCTGGGGGTAGGTCAAGCTCCAATAATCACTGAGAATAAACTGCACTCCAATCCAGAGGGCTGAGGAATCAGAGGGGATTTCTTTTAAAGAAGCTTGCAACATTTTTTCTCTGTCTAAACTTGTGATTGCAATCTGTAGCTGTTACAATGGCTTGGTCATATTTGTGAAAACCAGAATTACAAAATGAAAGTGCTAAACTGGACTTGTACCATCACTTCTGCTTTATTAGACATCAGACATTGCCAGGAGAAACAACCCCATAGAATTAGAAATGGGACAGTTTAAGGAACTAGAAGTCTTTCTGCAGCAAGACAAACACAGCCTTCACTGCGTAGTAGAGCCTTGGTTGGTCCACACCACCCTTCTCCCGTTACCTGTATCCCCGCCCGCTCCTTGGCCTAAGCCCCTCCCACTTGACGCAGTGATTACAGCAGGCCATCCAAGCCTAAACCAGTGAACACGCCAGTTTCCTTTGGCCTTAGGAGTTGCTTCAGACAACATCAGTCTTAGCCTGGGATCTCCAGAAAACAGAACCTGTGTCAAAGGCTTATACGCAACGACTTTATTCAGAAATATAATCCAGGGAGCAGGAGTTAGAAGGCAGGAAATGCAGGGCAGGGAACAGTCAGTGTAAATGTTGTTCTCCAAGGGGGTCATCACCTGGTATTAAAGTCCATGGAATGGCTTGATTGTCTTCCAAGAGGCCATATAAACAACCACTACCCAGGAACATCTGCCAGAGGAAGAAAGGGCCCTGCCTCCCATTGGTGAAAGGTTTTGCCCCATTGGCTGTTAATTTCCATGCTGTGTATGTACCCAGGGAGTCCTGTGGCGTCTCACACCTCGATGTCAACAGGAAAACACCAAGGGCAGCAGAAGGCCAAAGACACTGTTGGTTGTGCCCATGTGAAGATGGTCAGAGCCCACACAGAGATAGTGATCACTGCTGAGGTTGGTCTGGCACAAGTAGGCAAAGGCTCTATGGGAGGTGAGGCTGAGTGGATCTAAAGTAGCCCCGAAAGGTGCCTGATGCACTGCGCTCTCAGCAGAGTCCTGGACTGGGCTTGGTGGTGGTGAGCTGGAGCCAGATCTTGCAAAGCCTTGTGTAGCCTTGGTCTGGGAGCTTCTGCCCACACCACCCCACGCTGCTCTGGCTTTTTTTAAGTCTTGACTCATAGGGAGCTTTTTGTTTCACATTAATGACTTTTAAGTTCAGCACGTGGGCCAGTGGTTTCCTTTTGAAAGTTTAATGTAGTACTCCTTATTTACCTCTTTTCAGTTTCATCCTGTCAATGGTGGCCATCGTGCTCTAGCCGGTCAAGATCTTTTTGGTGGCCATCGTGCTCTAGCTGGTCAAGATCATCCAGGATATGAGGTAATCCTTCCTAACACTGTATCATTTTCAGGGCCCTCCAGGGCTGCATATGAATTGGTTTTAAAACTACAGAGAGATGATAAGAGATGTGAAATCAAGGGACAGCTGCTGACCCTTCATTTTGTCACCATTGCTCAGATTAGATGGAAGGTGTTCCTCCCATGCTAGGGGTTCATTTCTGTTTTAATTTAGGTTCCCACCTCAGCAAGGACTTGGGAGCAGTGAGGTTATTTGGGAGGTGATCCCGTGAGGCAGAAGTGAGGGTTTGAGGCAAATGAGCCAGGGAAAAGAGAAAAGTCAATAAAGAGCATATTCTACACTAGATATTATACCATGGTAGGCAGCTGGAGCACAGTTTTTCGGGGACACTCTGAGGATCTGTGTAAAATGTGCCTCAGAACGGTCCCACTGAAGGATGGTGGGCTGGGACACAGCCACTCAACTCTCATCCCCCATTGATTGAGGGCTACTGTCAGGGTCATTAATTCCCCTATACCTTTAGGGGAGACCTCTCTGCATAAGCTGAATAGACTTAGGCAGCTTGGAGAAAGCCCAGAGGCAGGGAAGTGGAGGGGCACCACTGCGAGAGTGTAAGGGGGAACTGGTGTCATACATGGGGCTAACACTGGTGAGCAGAGTGGATGTGATAGCAGGTACCCCCCAGTGGGTCACGTAAGGAAACTGGCAGTGGCAGATAGGAGCTGCATCATGAACTCCTACTGTCCTGCTCTTCCTGGCTGATGGAGCCAACTCTGTTCCACCCATCCACTCCTCTGCACTGTACAATCCTGTGTCAACACAGTTGGGGTGGAGAATTCAGGAAGCAGGGCCTCCTTTCAAGTTCTCATGCTTTCCCAGGTAACACCTACCCTTGCCCACCACCCTCACCCCCATCGCTCGGGGCTTCCAAGTGCCTTAAGAGAAGTTATTGGGGGTATTCTTTGAGGACAAAGTTCCACAGGTCCTGGCTGATGGGGCTCAGTAACTTCAGAGTGAAGTTCTTCTGTGCAGTCATTAAGACCTGAGCACTAGATGATGATGACCTTCATCAGGCAAGGAGCTCTTATCACCTGAGGGAAGCCTTAACTTTGGTGAGGTTACCTAATGCCCAAGCTTCACTCTGAGAGGTCGAGCAAGTGATCTGTTGGTTTATAGAAACTGTACTGTGTCCAGGAAAATTAGAGAAAATCTACATCTCCTCAAACCTAAATCTGGCTTGAAGCCACTCTTTGGTTTAAAGTTATATATTAGTCAGCGTTCTTCAGAGGTATAGAACCAATAGGGGATATATACATATATGTGTATATTTATATATATAATAATCTCATATATATGTGAGAGAGATATACATAATAATCTGATATATGTAATAATCTCTATATAATATACATAACAATCTCATATATAATAATCTCACACATATATATATGTGAGATTATTAGGGAGAATTGGTTCACACAATTACGAGGCAAAGTCACATGATAGGCTGCAAGCTGGGAAAAGGGAAAAGCCAGTAGTTTGGTTCAGTCCAAGTCTAAAAGGCCCCAACCTAGGGAAGCCAACAGCGCAGCTCTCATTCTGAGCCCCTGGGAGGTCGCTGGTGCAAGTCCCAGAGTCCAAAGGCTGAAGAACCTGGAGTCCGATGTCCAAGGACAGGAGAAGCAGACTAGTGTCCTGAAAAGCATGGAAAGAGAGAAAGAGGGAGAAGACTCAGCAGACAAGCGTATCCCCTTTCTTCCACCTGCTTTGTTCTAGCCAAGCTGGCAGCCCAGTGGATGGTGCCCATCCACATTAAGGGTGGGTCTTCCTCTCCCAGACCATCAGCTCAAATGTCAATCTCCTCTGGCAAAACCCTCACAGACACATTCAAGAACAAAGCTTTATCAGCCATCTAGGCATCTATCAGTTCAATCAAACTGACACCTAATATTAACCATCATAGTGATTGCTTTGAAGATGGGATTGTGTCATTTGGTGTGAGATAGAGGTCCACAAATTTTTCTGTAAAATGTCAGACTGTAAATATTTTAGGCTTTGCATGCCACATACAGTCAATCTCTGTTGCACCTTTTCTTATTCTTTTCATTTTTTATGACCCTTTAAAAAGGTAAGAACCATTCTCAGCTTGTGTGCTGTACAAACCCGGACCATAAGTGGCCTGCAGGTGGTAGTTTGCAACTCCTGGCCCAAGGGACTGCTCACAGGACATCAGGAGTAACCATGTCTGATGTTCTCTTGGGGAGAGGGAGTGGAGAGGAAGGCAGAGGAAAGGATTACCAATCAGTTCAGCCCTATATGGCCTGGGCTTTGATTGCAGTAGAATCTTATTCAAGTGTGAATAATAATATCCAACTGCTGGGGTTACCTTTTCCTTGGCCAGGAGACAAGGACACACCCTGTGGATGGGGTGGAAGTTTCTCTCTGCATCAGAAAATGGAGAGTTATGATAAGTCATAATGCTGAAGTTCACAGAATCAGAAACAAGGTGGTGTGTGGGAGGAAACCCCACAAGAGCTGAGGCAGGAGTCTGAAGCCTCAGTGTGTTCTCATATAAACATAGAATTAGAAAAGAATTAGAGATATAGTCACACAGTTATTCCTATATATAATCATAAATAATCACATAGCTATTCATATGTAATCATAAATATATACACACGTATAATTATATAATCTTTAATCTTACTAATAAGTCTCAGGTCAAGAAGTATGGGACTGAAGTGGCATTGGAAAAGAGGTGACCCTAAGGCAAGATGCTCTAAGTCCTCTGTCACTCCGGCATGAGGGCTGCTGGAGGACGCCTTGGCTGTGCAGCAGTGTCAGTGCTGTGAAAGCACCTGCTGTTTAGCCAGCTAGGGAAAGAGACGTCCAAGATGATGGAGATGTCTCCTTCCTCGGGTGAGTGAGGAGAAAACTCCGCTCTCCCAAGCTCTTGTGGTAGGCCTGACAGCTGTCAGGGAGGCCCACAGACATCCGGGGACTTAATTGTCTCTATGCGGTGCTGCGCTTCAGCGGTCACGTTCCATGGCTACTTTCAAGTTCTGCTTCTGCACCTGGTTCCTCTTTTTCCTAGAAGACAAGAATTAGTAATCGTAACATAAATCTTAGTGACCTTGTTATTTCTTGACAAATATGAGAAAAGTGTTGACATCTTAGGTTTCCTCCTCACCTCGGCTTCTTCAAAGTCTTGGGCCCTGTCTCCAAGACACGTGATTTACGTGGCCCTATCATCACTGACCACCATTACCTCATCCTACGTGCCCTTCCCCCCACTTTGTACTCAATAAAAGTCAGAGTGTCCAGGCTCTCGGGGCCTGGTCTCCATGCTTTGGATAGCAGTGGACCCCTGGCCCCAAACTTTCTTTTCCTTATCTCTGTGTCTTGTGTCTTTTATTTCTACAATTTCTCATCTCCACACCTGCAGAAAGGGACTCGGGGGACCCCATAGGGCTGGACCCCACAGCAGTGCTTGGACTGGGGATACACAGGTGTATCCATCTGGGCCCACTCAGGAGAGAGAAACCACACAGTAAGCTGAAATAACACAGTCATCCCTCAGTATCCCTCGGGGGGTTGGCCCCTGAGGATACCAAAATCCATGCATGCTCGAGTTCTTTCCTATAAAAGCGGCATAGTATTTGTATATAACCTATGTATAATCTCCCATATGCATTAAATCATCTCTACTTAAAGTACCTAATGCAATGTAAATGCTATATAAGTAGCTATTGCACTGTTTTTAAATTTATATCATGTGTATTATTGTAATTTTTTTTGCTTCTTTTTTCAAGTATATTTGATCTGCAGTTGATTAAACCCTCAGATGCGGAACCTGGGGATATGGAGGATCAACTGTATTAACAAATTATAAACTGTAACAGTGAACTGGAATATCAAGACATTGGCTAGTAGGAAGTAAAGAGAACTCTGAAAACTATAGCAGTAGCAGATATCCTTGCAAATGACATATGTGCTACTTTGCTAGGGCTGCCATAACCAAGTGCCACAGGCTTGGTGGCTTAAACAACAATGTGTTTTCTCACAGTTCCAGGGGCTAGAAATCCAAGAATCATGGTATCCGCAGGGCTGATTTCTTCAGAGGCCTCTCTCTGCTTGTAGATGGCCACCTTCTCCCTATGTCCTCACGCAGTCTTCCCTCTGTATCTGTGTCCTGACCTCCTCTTCTAAGAACACCAGTCATTCAGATTAGGGCCCATCCTAATTACCAGATATAGTCATATTCTAAGGTACTGGGGATTACGACTTCAACAGATGCATTTAGGGAGACACAATTCAACCCTAAGAACATAGCACAACTAGCCACTACTCCTAAAGCTGAGATAGAGACTCACAGAGTATGCCCTCATCTCCCCCTCACTCCCAAGGGGCAGAGCCAACCCCTGTTGAAGACAGCATGGCTCAGGCTCTCCCCAGATGGCAGAGAAGTCACCAAGGTGCCATGCCCATTTAACTTGCTAGAAATTTGTCCTTTAGAATTTTCTGGAAATCCACCCTCTAGGTGCCAGAGAGAGAGCAGTTCATGAGGCATCTCAGTGAAGGCGAGGCAGGAGAATAGGTTCTGGAGACCGGAAGGCTTCGCTTCAACCAATCAAACTGGTCACCAGCCAGGTCTTCATCTGCATAGGGTGAAACTTTGTAACTTCACTTCAGCCTCTGATTGGTCACCTCTTGCAAGCAATCAGACTGGTCTCAGGCTAAGTCTTCATGTGCATAGGGTGTAACCAAGTAACCAATGGGAAACCTCTAGAGGTTAAACCCCAGAAAATTTTGCAACCAGTGCTCTCAAGCCACTGGCTCCAGCCGGTTCCCAATCTCTGGAGTATACTTTGATTTCAATAAATCTGTGCTTTCGTTGCTTCATTCTTTCATTCCTTTGTTTATGCATTTTGTCCAATTCTTTGTTCAAAACATCAAGAACCCGGACAACTCTTAGTCAAGATCCTCCAATGGTAACAGAGGCCCTTTCTACAAAACCACCTGAAGCAGGTGCCAGGGGAAGCTGGCGGCTGCTGGGTGGTCTGGCCACCAGCTACACTCCAAGAACCTGGTGCCAAGAAGACATGCCCTCTGCAGGAGCACACCAGACACACCAGAATCAGGAAGCAAAACTCTTTCCATCCTATGATGAATCTCCAGCACCCCTTACCCTCACACACACTCACAAAAACATCACTCACAAGTTTGCCACTGGCAAGGGAAAACTACTTAAAGGGCCTAGTTCAATTTTCACAGAGCAGACAAAAAGGATAAATTTGAAGTTGTGAGGCAATCAATCAATAGCAGGTACAACATGAATTCCTTCTTCCAGGTAAGAAAGAAATTCCTTTTGGACCCTGAGCTTCCTACTCTCTCCACCTGGCAAAAACCTGCTGAGGACTCATCAAGGGCCAGGGTTTGGGTTTGACCTGTGGGTGTTGAGAATGGCATTTCTGTTAATCTTGCAATGTCCTTCATGGAGTCCTGTATAAAGTCATAGCCTCGCCTGAGCTGTCCTGTGGATAACTGCAGAAGCAATTACTGGTGGCACCCCTCAGGGGTGCTATGCCCAGGAGGGTGCAAATGGGGAATTCACCAGCAAACAGAGGGGAGGACCAGAGTGAAGATTCAGAGGGACTGGCCAAGAGCACCTTTTCCCCTTTGGAAACCATCCAAATAGGGGAGGCTGGAGGACTTTTCTGGAATGAGGGGGAATGCCCATGCTATAATCATGTGACTATCGAAAGGAAACATAAAACAATTACATGGCCCAAGGCTGGAGAGACAGAGGATGTACATTTAAAAGAAAACGTCAGTTGAATACGAAGTGTTAGTAGAATTATTACAGAGGGAAAAGTTCACAATGATTTCTTCCCTTTCATATTTCCTTGTTGATACTGTGATAATTCAGCCTTAGAGCAATAACTTTGGAATTTCTCGTGCCAGGCCACAATAAGGAACTAAAAAAGTTTCCTTTCTAGGGACATGGATGAAGCTGGAAACCATGATACTCAGTAAACTAACACAGGAACAGAAATCAAAACACTGCATGTTCTCACTCATAAGTGGGAACTGAACAATGAGAACACAGGGAGGGGAACATCACACACAGGGGCCTGTCAGGGGGCTTGGGAGGTTAGGGGAGGGATAGATGAGGAGAAATACCTAATGTAGATGATGGGTTGATTGGTGCAGCAAAACCACCACGGCACGTGTATACCTATGTAACAAACCTGCACATTCTGCACATGTATCTCAGAACTTAAAATATAATAATTAATATAAATAGAAAAAAAGTTTCCTTTCAAACCACCTCTTCATTTGAGCCAGATGTGAATTCCTGCATGCCAACACATTGTGACATTTGCATGATATAATTTATGATAGAATGTTCTTGTGAATGAAAAATTATTTTTTAAGGCAACTTGATTCCACTTCTGCCATTACCAAGTCTGTGATGTGGCAACTTCGCTGAGCCTCAGATTCTTTATCTAGAAAATGAACAGAGATTCGTTGTAAACGACTCTTTTAGCTGTACCACTGATTCACTACATTCTAGGAATAACCTGCAAGATCCTAGGTTTACAAATTAAATCAGAGAGTAACTTATTTGCTTTACTAATAGTATTCTTTGTTTCTCAGATGACTCACAATCGAATTTCTTTACAAAGCAAATTATCTTAGTGTCTAAATGGTTTAGCTTACTTACAACATTTCAGGAACATGGGTATTAAAAAAAGACTAGGGCAGCCACATTAGAAATTGTGTCACTGCCAGTTAAAATATTCAGGCATTCAGGATTTTCCCATAAGTTAATCAATTATGATTATTCCCTTACACTTGCCAGGGGCCAAATGAAGAAAGTGTCCTCACCTGGACAGATTTGAGAGACAAATACTGAAGTTTCTGGCCCACAGGAAAGCAAGAAAACAAAAAGAGAAGCCTGGGTTCTTGCCTGATGTCAGACCGCTAAGCTCGTACTCCATTCACTCAAGGATTTGATGGTTCCTAAAAGTAAATACTGTGTCTCTGATATGACTAACACTACCATTTCTTCTCAGGTATTTTACACCTCAGTGTGATTGAGTTAATTAGCTGCTTCCTTGAGCCAGGACGAAGAAAGTCGTGTGTGTGTGTGTGTGTGTGTGTGTGATGTAGAGTCGGAGTGAACTGGATTCTGTGTGTGTGTGTGTGATGTAGGGTCAGAGTGAACTGGATTCTGTGTGTGTGTGTGATGTAGGGTCAGAGTGAACTGGATTCTGTGTGTGTGTGTATGTTTTGTGGGGTCAGGGTGAATTGGAATCCGTGTGTGTGTGTGTGTGTGTGTGTGTGATGTAGGGTCAGAGTGAACTGGATCTGTTTGTGTGTGTGTGATGTAGAGTCGGAATGAACTGGATTCTGTGTGTGTGTGTCTGTGTGTGTGTGATGTAGAGTCGGAGTGAACTGGATTCTGTGTGTGTGTGTGTGTGTGTGTATATTTTGTGGGGTCAGGGTGAATTGGAATCCGCGCGCGCGCGCGTGTGTGTGTGTATGTGTTTTGTGGGGTCAGGGTGAACTGGAATCTGTGTGTGTGTGTGTGTGTGTGTGTGTGTGTGTGTGTGTTTTGTGGGGTTATGGTGAACTGAAATCCGTGTACGTGCTCTCCCGTATTTGACTCACTCCGGGCAGCATAACCAGTCCCCGTCACATGGGGGCGCGCAACAAACATTTCCCGAAAAATCCAAGCGCAGCGTCTCCACCAGCCAGCTGGGCTGCCAGGTAGGTACTTCCTTCAAAGCTGAGCTAGCGTTCTCCGCCCACCCGCGCAGGAAGGCGCCCCCGCAAAACAACGTCTAGGAGGCGAGAAGTCCCCAGCCGATGCCGCGGCGGGCCCGAGGCGGATCAACCTTGGAGGGTACGCATGCCGAGGCAGGCGGGGAGTCCCCCGGGGGACGCGAGCAGTTCCGGCTGGGATCCGGGTCTCGCTAGCGAAGAGTCTCTGGCTGTGGGAAATGGGTCCCCGGGTTGCTGCGGAGGCCCAGGTCGAGGTCTACACGGGGGACGGGGAAGTGGAGGTGACCACTAGAGCGCCCCGGATCCCTGAGCGCCGCCGCGAAGTCTGCGCTGTTTAGGGCACTTGGAGCGCGGCCAGTTGGCAGATTTGCGTTTTCCCGGAAGGGCCCGCGGCGGCTGAGCTGTTCCCGGAAACTGAAAACTCTGCTGTGCGCTCTCTTCCGCGCTCGGGCTCAACTTTGTAGAGCTGGGGGCCAACTTTGCAGAGCGCGCGGCCAGTTCTGCAGAGGGCGCCCTCCCGCCGCTATGCGCGCGGCGGCAGGGGTCGCTTTGGGCCCTGCCACCCCTGCCGAGCGCACTGTCCCGAACCAGGGGCGGCGCAAGCCCCACCCGGCCCTACCCTGGGCGGCTCCTTCCTTCGCGGCGCCCGGGCTTTACTTTCGCTTTAACTAAAGAGGTCCCAGACCCTCGCTGCGGAGCGACAGAGACTGTGCCAGCCCCAGCCGCCCGACCGCCCTGAGGAAGGTAACTGCAGCACCCGCCTCAGCCGGCGCCTCTCCAGCCCGCTGGCCGTGCGCGCCCTGCCTCCCTCCTTCCTGTCGGCTTCCTCCTCCACGTCAGTCCTCCGAGTGATCTGAGGGAGCCTGGTTGAGTGGAACAGAGTGACCCCGACGGCGTGCGCGGAAACAAACTTTGGGAAGAGGGCCCTTTCCGCCCTTCCCTCCTAACGAGCGGGCCGGGGGACACCTCACACTATTCGAGATGTGGGAGAGGAGAGTTCCTGATCTGGCACTGCGGCTAACAGCGCGGGCTCTTTCGTCTGGGTTCCGGTTCCCGCCCTGCCTGCCGGCGGTGGGACCTTGATCCTCTGTCTGCTAAATGGGTACCAGGGTGATCCTCGCTGCCTGTTGCTGGGACGTACGAAGGTGATTATGGTGCGCGGTGCGCGGTGCGCGGCAGTGGCTCTGTGGAGGCTGAGTACGCTGGAGCTGAGCATCCTTGCTGCAGGGCTCCTAGAGGGACCTTGAGGAGGTGGAAATAAGGCCGGGGACATTTAGACGGGTGGAGTGTTAGGCTCCAGGCGACAGCTTTGTAGTTTATGGAGCAGTAAAATTCCCTGTAGGTGATTGCCCTTTACTCTTGAACTCCTGAACTAGGGCTAGCTGACGTGGCTCTTGTTGTCTCAACTTACAGGCTATTTCCTCCTTCTGGGTCTCGCCTGACCTTCACCCTCGGCACCGCCATTGCCTAGATTCACAGTCCACCTTCTGCCACCTGGAAACTGTGTGGCTTTGGGAGGTTACTTAACCTCTCTGAAGAAACTAAAGTTTCTGGAATACCAAGGTAAAGGCCCTGGCCTAGCAGTGCCATGAGCCTCGGGTGACACAGTGGAGCACTTGAGTGTCCAGCAGAGCCTCCCTTTCCCCTTCCCAGCTGCTAGAAGAAAGAGGGGGAGATTTTCAGGTCTTCTCTATGTGCCCTTTAGGAAGATTCTCTTTATTGGGCAAGAAGTGAGGCACAAATTGTATGTTGTTACTTTTCAGGAAAAACAGCTGCAGTCCGTTCTCTCCCTTATGAAAGTAAAAAGTTTAGACAGTAGCTGGGCAGTGATTTCCTGCCTAGCTATGTACCAGTTCCCCAACATTTGGGCCCCTGTTCAACATATTTAGAAATAATCACTGCAGGAATTTTTTTCAGGTCCCCACAAAATCTGTTTAAAATATAGATGTGGTTTTGAAACATCAGTGACGGTTGACAGTTGCATATTTTCTTAGTCTCGTGGACAATGGTGATAATGGGAATATTTTTTGACTATTTAGAATGTGCCACCCCATACCTAGCATTTTACATGCAATGTTTCATTCATCCTCCCAACCATCTGTGACATAGGTACCATTGTTTTCCCATTTTACAGACGAGGAAACTGAGGCTTAGAGACTTGAACACTTTGAGGTCCCATGGCTAATATGTGGAACAACTGATTCAGCCCCAGATCTCTGCGTTCTCAACCACCCTCCTAGGGCTCCTTGGTTCTCTTTGGACAGAAGTTTATTCAAGGGGCTGAAGGATTTGAAAATACATTTAAGTTAGGTTTATAAAGAAATACGGATTTGGTGCCTGCCATGTACCTGACATGTTCTATGATCAAAAAAAAAAAAAGATTAAGATAAGGTAAGAATAAGAATTACAATGACTAAACGAGACTACTTATGTGCCTGGCATTGTCACTGCTTTGAGTGTCTCGTGTATTAATTCATTTAAAGAGAAGTTAGACATATTTAACAGTGGGATAAGCAGCCTTCCTCAAATGACTGCTCTTTGCAGCCTGGACTGTAAGAAGGGGATAGATACTTCTTACAGTGTCTATCTGTAATAAGTAAAATAATGCCAGATGTGCCCTCCCCGGGCAGCTTGGCAGAACTGAGATAGGTCTGGATTTTCTTGGTGCACTGTGATGATGAAAAGAGGACATTAGGGGTCAAAACCAGGTCTTGGTTTGACTGAAAGGATGTGTCTGAGATCAGACACCCTCACTTGGTTACCACCCAGGGCTTTGATTGCCCTTTGGAGGTTCTAAAAATCAATCCCAGTCTCATAGGAATAAGAAAGTAACTGGCTGTTTAGCTTTAGGGATTTGAGTCAAGTTCCACCACTCCTGACTTGGATCATTAGAAGAGTCGCCTTCTGTCACTGTAGGCGGTGTTCAGCATCAACCCAGAAGGACGCTGTAGGTTTCAGACAGAAGACCTAATGTCCTCATGTTTGGAGGAAAAGTTCTAGAAAGTGTCCCATTATTGAGCCACAGAAATCGCCTGAATTTTACATGTCAGTAGCTAAGTCTAAAGCCCTTGCCTAGTGTCTGAGAAGAATGAAGAGTTTAAGCTATACCCATCCTTTGATGGAACATTTAAGATGTTTCATGAGTGCACAGTTCTCCCTGCCTGAATTGTTCCCGCCTGCCCTCTCTGCTTCCCCCTTTTCAGCTCTCAGGTCAGACGTTTTCACCCCTGAGAACTTTCCCTAATTTCTGTGAGGCTCTTGAGTTTCCCTGATGCAACTACAGATTGTTCACCCTCAAGGCACACACCACAGTTGCAGTTGAACCTATTCTTTTTTTTTCATGTCTGTTTCTCAACATGGCAGGACAAGATCAATTTTCTGACAAATACATCCCTAATTCCTAACTTCTAGTAAATATCCATTGAATAAATGAAGAAGAGTCTCCAAAAGTCTCAGCAGTTCCAATAATATCAAAACAAAGTCTTGGCTTTCTTAGGAGCCATTTTGCTTACGGTCTTCGCCTTTCTCAAAATCCCTTTATTAAGGTATAGTTGAAATATAAAAAGCTAGGCATATTTAATGCATGCACACATACCAAGTTTGGGGATAAGCATAGATATACCCATGAAATCACCGTCAACAAAGCCACCACCTCCTAAAGTTTTCTCTCACATCCTTTAGTACTACTGTTTTTTTGTGTGGTAAGAACATTCACCATAAGATCTACCCTGTTAGCAAATTGAAAATATACCATACAGTGTTGTGAGCTATAGGCACTATGCTTTATAGTAGATCTCTAGAATTTAATCATCTTGCACAACTGAAACTTTGTACCCTTTGACTATTACTTCCCCATTTCCTCCTCCCTGCCCCCACCCAGACCTCTGGCAACCACCATTCCATTCTCCACTTGTATGAGTTTGACTCTGTGAGATTCCACATAGATGTGAGATCTTACAGTAATTGTCTTTCTGTGTCTGGCTTATCTCAATTAGCATAATGCTCTCCAGGTTCATCCACCTTGTCTCAGATGGCAGGAGCTCCTTCTTTTTTATGGCAGAATAGTATTCCATTGTATGTGTATACCACATAGTCTTTATCCGTTCATTCATTGATGGACATTTAGATTGTTTCCATAATGCTATGGTGAATGTGGGAGTGCAGGTATCTTTTTGAGATCCTGATTTCAGTTTCCCTGGATGTATAGCCAGAAGTGAGATTACTGGATCATATGGGATTTCTAGTTTTAGTTTTTTAGGAACTTCTAGACTGTTTTCCATAATAGCTGTACCAATTTATATTCCACCAGCCGTATACAAGAGTTCCCTTGTCTTCACATCCTTGCAAACACTTACCTTTACAGACACACACACATTATATATGCGTATGTGTAAGTGTTTACACATACACACAGATGTACATGTAAAATAGCTATCCTAACAGTTGTGAGATGATATCTTACTGTGGTTTTGCTTTGCATTTCCCTGATGCACCTTTTCATATATTTGTTGCCCATTTGTATGTCTTTAGAGAAATGTCTATTCAGGTTCTTTGCTCATTTTTAAATTGAGTTATTTGTTTTTGCTATTCTATTGTGTGAGTTCCTTGTGTATTTTGGATATTAACCCCTTTTCAGATACATGATTTGTAAATACTTTCTCCCATTCCACAGGTTGCTTTTTCATTTTTTTTATTGTTTTCCCGCTGTGCAGAGCTTTTTAGTTTGTTGTAATCCCATTTGTTTATTTTTGCCTTTGTTGCCTGTGGATTAATGTGACATGTAAAAACTCATTGCCAAGACCAATGTCAAGGAGCTTTCTCCCTATGCTTTCTTCTAGGAGTTTTAAGGTTTCAGGTCTTATGTCTAAGTCTTTAATCCATTTTGAGTTGATTTTTTTTTATATGGTATAAGAGTCTAGTTTTATTGTTTTGCATATGGATATCCAGTTTTCCCAACACCATTTATTGAAGAGACTGTCCTTTCTATACTGTATATTTTTGGCCCTCTTGTCAAAAATTAGTTGACTGTAATGTGTGGGTTTATTTCCAGGCTCTCTATTCATTTCTGTTGGTCCATGTGTGTTGGTGTATAGCAAAGTTTCATTTCCTTATTCATTTACAATATCTTATCACATGGTAGATAGGGCAAGGCAGCTCTCTTTTTAAAAAGGTACTAATTTCATTTATGGGGGCTTTACTCTTGTCACCTAATCACACCCCAAATGCCCCATGTCCTAATACTATGACATTGGTGAATAGATTTAAATGTATAAAATTGGTGGGGGAGGACACATTCAGATCATGGCAACAACTCAACTTCACTCGCATTCAAAAACTCTACAGTTTTACTCTCTCCCTCCATGTTTTATGTTATTGGTATCAGTTTACATTTCTTTATATTGTGTATCCACTAGCAATTATTATAGCTATAGTTATTAAAACTATAGTTGTTTTAAATACTTTTGTCTTTTAACTTTAGTAGAGTTCAGTGATTTATGTACAAGTAATATAGATGCTCCTCCACCTATGATGGAGTTATATCTCTATAAACCCAGTGTGAGCCAAAAATGCATTTAATGCAACTAATCTATTGAATTTCAGAGCTTAGCCTAGCCTATCATAAACATGCTCATAACACATTAGTCTACAGCTAGGCATGAGCATCTAATACAAAGCTTATTTTATAACAAGATATTGAATACCTCATTTAATATATCAATACTATACTACAAGTAAAAACACAATGTGTGTATGGTTACTTGAAGTATGGTTTCTACATGATGTGTTTTGCGTTTGAGGCATTGGAAAGACAAAAGATCTTAAGTCAAACCATTGTAAGTCGAAGACTACCTATAAACTATTTGCATATTCTGGATTTGACTATACACTTACCTTTGCCAGTGAGTTTTATACATTCATATTTCATGTAGCTAAAGAGTGTCCTTTCATTTCAACCTGAAGTATTCCTTTTAGCATTTCTTGTAAGGCAGATCTAGTGATGAACACTTTCATTTTTTTGTGTGTCTCAGAAAAGTATTTATCTTCATTTCTGAAGGACGGGTTTGCTGGATATATTTGTGGTTGGCAGTTTCTTTCTTTTAGCACTTTGATTATATGATCCCACTCTTTTCAGGCCTGCAAGGTTTCTGGTGAGAAATCTGCAGGTGATCTTACGGATATTTCTTTGCATGTAATAAGTTGCTTTTCCATGTGTGTGTGTGTGTGTGGGTGTGCATGTATGTGGATGTACATATGTATATGTATAGATATACATGTGCACATATATATCAATAACTTTTGGAGTACAAGTCGATTTTGGTTACATGGATTAATTGTGAAGCGGTGAAGTCTGAAATTTTAGTACAGCTGTAACCCAAGTAGTGTGCATTGCATCCAATATGTAGTTTTTTAAATCCCACATCCTCCTCCCACCCTCCTCCCTTCTGAGTTTCCAATATCTGTTATACCAATCTGTATGCCTTTGCGTACTCGTAACTTAGCTTCCACTTGTAAGTGAAAACATGATATTTGGTTTCCATTCCTGACATACTTCACTTAGAATGGCCTCCAGCTCCATCCAAGTTACTACAAAAGACATTATTGTAATGTCTCCATCTTCCTTCTTTTTTGTTTATTTGTTTAGACAAAGTCTCGCTCTGTTGCCAGGCTGGAGTGCAGTGGCACGATTTCAGCTCACTGTAGCCTCCACCTCCAGGGTTCAAGCGATTCTCCTGTCTCAGCCTCTCAAGTAGCTGGGACAACAGTCATGTGCTGCCACACCCAGATAATTTTTGTATTTTTAGTAGAGACAGGGTTTCACCATGTTGGCCAGGATGGTCTTGCTCTCTTGACCTCGTGATCTGCCCACCTCTGCCTGGCCAACAGCCAGGCCCCGTCTCTACTAAAAATATAAAAAAAATTAACCAGACATGGTGGTGGGCACCTGTAATCCCAGCTGCTCGGGAGGCTGAGGCAGGAGAATCAGTTGAACCTGGGAGGCAGAGGTTTCAGTGAGCTGAGATCATACCATTGCACTCCAACCTGGGTAACAAGAGTGAAACTCCATCTCAAAGAAAAAAAAAATGATTCCAATACTGGCTCTGCCTTGGGCCAGCTGCATCACCTTTAGCTAATTCTTTTCCCTTAGGGTGTGTGTTTCATCCAGGCTTCCATTTAATTAAATATTTTAGTAAAAAGTCTGTGTTCCAGCTACCTCTGCTATGATGAACTTACATTGTCGTATGGGAGCCAAATAGCAGAGTACAGATAAACAAGCCACATACAAAGGCTATGTGGGAAATGAAGACAGAGTGCGGGGTGGGAAAGGGCCAGGTAGTAAATATTTTTGGCTTTGTGGCCATAATCACTCAACTCTGCTTGTAGACAGGAATAGCTAGAGGCAATACATAAATGAATGGACATGGCTGTTTTCCAGTAAAACACTTCTTACAGAAACAAGTGTTGGGCCATGGTATGCTGACTCCCAGACTAATCAGGGACTCTGGACCACATCAGCCTGCCATGCCTCTGCCATCTTCACACATCCATGGGGAGGGGGACATTCAGGGAAGGAGGTTTATGCCTTAAAATCCAAGGAGATGGATTGAACTTGTAGTTAATGGGGATCTCTTGAAGATTCTCGCAGGAATGTAATTTGATGGAAATCTATTTTGTATAGAACTATGTAAAATCATCTGACATAGAAAGAGCCTAATACTCCAGGTTGTCGCTGTTTTTGAACTGTGTATGAGCACTCAGTGACCTGCTAGGAATTTAGGGGGAATTTTTCATTGTTGTAAACCTTGGCAAATCTTCCACTGTTTCTTGTATGCAGTGAACATACAACAAAATTGTGGATGTTGGATTAGAAGCTCCCTGAGGTCAAAGACTTTGTTTTCTTTGCTGCCACATATGTAGTCTCTGGGATGTAAGCATATTCACTTACTTGAATGCATTAATGGGGCAATAACCCTGAAGCTTAAATATGCAAAACGGCTCACCCCTAGGCATAATCTAAAACCATGTCACCTAATGAGTGTCATTTAAAAATATCACAAAGCCAGTGATGCCACTGACCTTGTGGCTTATTTTTTCTCTTTCCAGATGGCAGACGATCAGGGCTGTGTTGAAGAGCAGGAAGTTGTGGATTCAGCAAGTGAAGATTCAGATTCAGTGGATGCTAAGCCAGACCGGTCCTCATTTTTACCAACCCTCTTCAGGTAAGTTTCGTTAATCAGACACTCAGGACCGCATCATCCTGCCATGCCTCTGCCATCTCCACCCACCCATGGGGAGAAGGACATTCAGGGAAGGAGGTTCTTGCTGAGCACGAGAGGTTTGCACAGGTTCTTGCTAGCTGTATGCAGCAACACTGGGGTCCTCATGTACATCCTCTTCTCTGTGGGCCAAGCCCAGCAATGGGCAAAACCAGGCATTGGGAGGCTCCTGCTCAGCAGCTGAGTGTCTGGTAGCAGTTCCCAGGAATAAGGGGCTTTTCTCATTAGAGGTGATTTGCAGGCACCTTCAGAACAGAGCCTGGGCTGCTGCTGCCAGTGGGACCAGGTTTGACAAAAAACACAGAATCCAGGGGCCGAGGGGCAGGAGGTTTTAGGGTGACTCACTCCCACCCTGTGCCTCCTGAGGCACTCCATTGGTGGAAGGGGGCTTGCATCCTATTTTAATTCCCACCTTTTCCTTTCTTGAGTTCACTTTTAAAATTCTAAATTTTGCATTTAATAATATAATAGCTTCATTGATTAAACTCTTGTATGCATGCTTGGTATCATTGCATTCAGTCTACGTAATTGCACAGTTGGTTTTATGTTATCACCAGATAGGGAAACAATTGCGCAGTTGGGTTTATTGTTATCACCAGGTAGGGAAACTGAGGCACTATGAGGTTTAATAGCTTGCCTTTTTGCTGATAGTTAGTAAATGGTAAAGCTAAGATGAGAAACTAAACAATGGCAGCACCACTCACTTAAAGGTTCTGCTGTGTGCTTTCCATTTAAGAGTAGGACTAGCCTGGTACAGTGGCTTACTCCTGTAATCCCAGCACTGTGGGAAGCCAAGGAGGGAGGATTGCTTGAGCCCAGGAGTTTAAGACCAGACTGGACAACATAATGAGAGCCCCATCTCTACAAAAAAAAGATAAGAAAATTAGCAGGGTGTGGTGGCACATGCCAGTAGTCCAGCCACTAGAAAAGCTGAGGCAGGAGGATCAAGTCCTCGAGTCCAGGAGATCGAGGCTGCAGTAGGCCATGACTGTACCACTGCATTCCAGCCTGGGAGACTGAGACTCTGTCTTGAAAAACAAGTTTTGTTTTTTTTTTTAAAATAAAAAATGAAAATAGAGCTAAAAGGATATGGAGGAACCCCAAACCCTCCCTTAACCTTGATCTTGGATGGGCAGTGAGTAGAGCTTCCTAAGAGAAAAGAGGCAGTGTGAGTCAGATGCATCGCACTTCTTTGCATTCCCTAAGCCAAGTCCTACTGGGAGAGATAGCCACGGGGATAAAGGCTGAGGCTCGGGAGTGCTCCCAGGCAGTGCTCAGGAGGGGAGGAGCTGGTGGGAGGAGCAGCCAGGCTCCCAGCACCCCAGAGTGGACCTTGGGTCGTATCATCCCACATAGGACTTGGAAAAGTGGGAGAACCCCAATGCTATGGACCCAGATTCTGTTGTTTGCCAAATAGAGTCAAGAATATCCAGTGAAGTGACCAGAAAATATAGTTCTGACTCCTGAGACTTCACAAAACCATGAGAAATTGGTGCAGGCCAAGCCACTCCCCAGGGAAAGCTCCTTAGAGCAATGGTCTTCAAATGCCTTTGCTTGTATGTCCTCAAAATAATGTAAAGCTGTGTGCTCTCTTATATATTTTAAAATAACATACACATTTTTGTCAAGATAGTTGCAAAAGATGTAACATTTCACTCTTCCCAACCCTTTTTGAGAATTTCACTTAAGCAAGTTGTCTAAAAGTGAAAGAGAAACAGGAATTATTTAATAGTCATTTTGTAAGTCTTAGTAAAGACTTTCAATATACTTCTCAGAAATTATGAAAATAAATGGTGTGTTGTAAATATTGACAATTCAAAGTCTTTTCTTTAAATGTATCCATTGGAATCTACATCCATAGTCATTTTATAACCACCTTTATCCATTAAAAAAACTACATGAACAGCTCTCCTGTAACAGCTAGAACTTTTATATTTCTTTCTTCCCCTCAAGCTTGGTTTTTTCATTCTCTTTTCCTCTACATTTTCTTCTGATGTAATAGATTTAGTGCTTGAAGGTCTTATTGATCATACCCCATTATATACCTATGTAACATATACGTGTATGCATATGTTCATCCATATGAATTTTAAGATTGATTTCTAGATATTATGAGTATTAAAGTTCTTCTAGACTAAGTTACTGTTTCAGCTCTAATGAACTCAGTTGATCTAAAAAATAAATGTTAATATATCATTAATATTGTTAAATTGTCATTCATCAAAATAATTATGAAATAGTAATTACGTTGAAGTTTCAACTTATAATGGAATGAAGAGGCTTTTAAAAAGTTAGTTTCTAAAGAAATAGACAAATAATACTACTGGAATAATAAAATTTCATATTACCTTTTTTTCCTATTTTTCATTTTTAGAGAGAAGCACTGAGAACTCATGAATAAAACATGAGATGGTAGGAGTTTGGTTATAGTCATGTCAGTTAGTTCTTTGAATTTTTTTAATTTTTTCTGAGTTCTGGACCAAAAATGACAAATTGCTTAGGTCTTTCTCTGATTATGTTGGAAGTAAAGAATTGGCAATTATCTAACTTAACAAAAGGAATTGTTATTCAGCCTTAAAGGTATTTGATTTTTTTAGTTTCTGGGAAGTACACCAAAAACCTTATACCCAAACTTCTCAAACAGTTGTAAATTAAATTTGCACCTCTTTTATTTAGAGGCAGTCTGTTTAACTCAAAATATTCCAGAAAAGATAAACTAGCATTAATAAACATTTGTCAATATCCATTTTTTGATAAAATACTTTTAAACCATATGCTTTTTAAAATGTATTTTTGTCACGCCCTTGAACCTGCTAATGTAGCTCATTCATGTATGAAAATTGTCTGCTCTATAATCTAGTTGACAGAGCCAGTCCCTGTCAAACCAGTTAGTCATATCATATTTGTTTGTTGTCAGTAAAGGTCTGACACCATTTTTCAGTTCAATAAATAAGTTATTAGGCATCCTGTGACACTCATTTTGTTTCTGAATTATATATTCTTATTTTTGGATGGATGGGTGGATGGATGGATGGATGGATGGATGGATGGATGGATGGATGGATGGAAAGGATGGAAGGAAAAAAGAAAGGATGCCAAGCCCAGCCCCATGTTTACCTCCTGGAACCAGTATTTGTTTTGTTCTCACAGGACTGATATGGTTTGGCTCTGTGTCCCTACCGAAATCTCATTTTAGTTGTAATCCCCATAATCCTCATCTGTTGAGGGAGAGACCTAGTGGGAGGTGACTGGATCATAGAAGTGGTTCCTCCATGCTGTTCTCGTGATAGTGAGTCAGCTCTCACAAGATCTTGTGGTTTTCTAAGTGTTTGACTTATAAAGTCCTACACACACTCTTTCTCTCCTGTTGCCATGTAAAATGTGCCTGCTTCCCCTTTCACCACAATTGTAAGTTTTCTGAGGCCTCTCCAGCCATGTGGAACTGTGAATCAATTAAACCTCTTTTCTTTATAAATTACCCAGTCTCAGGTAGTATCTTCATAGCAGTTTGAGAATAGACTAATACACAAGACTCCAGCTCAACAATAAAAAATACTGGGGAATAGTAAGGGGATGAAAAGGCAAAGATATTAAACAAGAACCATCGTTACTTCCATTTCATTCTACTATGTGTATGTGTATATATACATATATATATATATATATTTTTTTTTTTTTTTTTTTTTTGAGACAGAGTTTCGCTCCTTACCCAGGCTGGAGTGCAATGGCGCGATCTTGGCTCACCGCAACCTCCGCCTCCTGGGTTCAGGCAATTCTCCTGCCTCAGCCTCCCGAGCAGCTGGGATTACAGGCATGCGCCACCATGCCCAGCTAATTTTTTTTTGTATTTTTAGTAGAGACGGGGTTTCACCATGTTGACCAGGATGGTCTTGATCTCTTGACCTCGTGATCCACCCGCCTCGGCCTCCCAAAGTGCTGGGATTACAGGCGTGAGCCACTGCACCCGGCCATATATTTTTTAAAATACATTTTTCAGTATATATAAGCATACTCTGTTTTATTGTGCTTCACCTAATTGTGCTTTGCAGATACTGCTTTTTTTTTTTTTTTTTTTTTTTTTGAGACAGAGTCACATTCTGTAGCCCAGGCTAGACTGCAGTGGTGTGATCTTGGCTCACTGCCGCCTCCACCTCCCAGGGTCAAGCAATTCTCCTGCCTCAGCCTTCCAAGTAGCCAGACTACAGGTGTGCACCACCATGCCTGGCTAATTTTTATATGTATTTTAGTAGAGATGGGATTTTGCCATGTTTGCCAGGCTGGTCTTGAACTTCTGACCTTAAGTGATCCACCCACCTTGGCCCCCCAGAGTGCTGGGATTACAGGCATGAGCCACCACACCTGGCCCAGACATTGCTTTTTTTGTTTGTTTGTTTTTTTGAGCCAGAGTCTCACTCTGTCACCCAGGCTGGAGTGCAGTGGCCTGATTTCAGCTCACTGCAACCTCTGCCTCCCAGGTTCCAGTGATTCTCCTGCCTCAGCCTCCTAAGTAGCTGGGATTACAGACACATGCCACCATGCCCAGCTAATTTTAGTATTTTTAGTAGAGACGCAGTTTCACCATGTTGGTCAGGCTGGTCTCAAACTCCTGACCTTGTGATCCACATGCCTTGGCCTCCAAAGTGTTGGGATTACAGGCGTGAGCCACCATGCTCAGCCAGATATTGCATTTTTAACAAATGGAAGGTTTGTGGCAGCCCTGCAAAAAATTGGCTCCATTTTTCCAATAGCATATGCTCACTTTGTGTCTCTGTTACAATTTTCGTAATTTTCACAACATTTTAACCTTTTTAATTAGTGTTATGTCTGTTACTGAGATCTGTTATCAGTGATCGTTTTTTGTTTTTTGAACCTCAGGATGATCTCTGTAAACATGATCAGTGATCTTTGATGTTACTATTGTAAATTGCTTTGGAGTGCCACAA